GAGCTCTGGTGGCCTAGTGGCAGGAAGCTGCACTGCAATTGCAGAGGTGCGGGGTTCAAATCCACCAGATTCTCTGCTGGAGAAGAGGGGTAATCTCTTGTATCAGCCAGATCTGATTTGACAGCACACACAAAAAAATAATTTAAAAAAAAAAACCCTCCATGCTGAATCCTAACGGATAACTGGGGTTGGCCTAACCACAGATCTTCTTTTCCTGAAGGAAGTTTGTTGAGGAAACCCAGAGCTCAGTTTCCTCGGCTATGAAATAGGAAGAGTGCTGAGCGAGCCCATCTAGCCAGGCCCCAGGGCCTGTGAAGAGACATTGCGGGTGGTGGCCCTGTGGTCACTAGCTGTGGCTGGGTCCGACTCGGAGTGACCCGTGAACTCCAGGCCTGAACCCTGTCCTTTCCTGTGTCATCCTCATCTTCTGACAGGCTTGCTTGAGACCATTGACAGTCACTGTGTCTGGCCTTCTTGTTAAGGGTCTGCCTCTCCTCTGACCTTCCACATGTCCCAGCACCATGACACTGGCCTCTCCTGACACCTCGCCCCACGTACGGAAGATGAAGGGCTGCCACCCTCGCTTCTAAGGAGCACCCTGTTTGTTCTTGGGGAGCCCAGTCAAGGCTCAGCATTCACCCCATCACACGGTTGCCATGACAGCAGCCAAGCCCCCCACCCCATGTAGGGGCTGCCTTGGCCCCGCCTTGCTCGCTTGTGATTGGACGGTGTCATGTCTCACGCTTTGACTGACCAGTGAGGACAGTTCAGAGGAGTCAGCCCCTCTTCCAGAGGAACAAAGGGTGAAGTTGATCCCGGGAAAAGCTAAGGTCCTCCTCGTTGCACAGAGTTAAAGGTTTGCTTAGTGAATCGTTTAAGAAGAGAGGGGCCTGGAGCACTGACCAGATCAGAGATGCAGTCAGCCGAGCTGGCGCTGTTCTGTCTCCAGGAAAACACTGAACCCTGCTGCAGAAAACTCCAGAAACTTTCCGTGGGAGGCCGGTGTGGGCGCCTTGCCAGCTCTGGAAGTTCTTATACTTAGAAATAATCGGCCTGGGAGGTTACAAAATTAATGCATTCTGTGGTGGTTTATTTTTAATAAGCCATCGTTGTGGGCTGCGGGTGTGGGAGACTCGCAGACTCTTGCTCTCTGACGCCCACAAACAGATGGGAATAAACATCCTAGGTAGGTCATTCCGCAGGACCGCTCCCCTCCCCTCCCCTCCCCGGAGTCTGGGCAGCGTGCAGTGGGGAGCAGTCGTTGCCCACAACCTTTGGCTGCAGACCAGAGGGGGGCAGGGTGGGGGGCAGGCAGCAGCTCAGCCGGGTGGTTCTGGAGGGGTCTCGGGAGGGTGCAGTCGGGCGACAACTGAAGCTCCGTGGGGCTGGAGGACCAGCGTGGGCCCCCACCCACAGCATGGACTGGCTGCCCCCTAGAGCTGTGACCCCAGAGGGCAGGGGAAGCCAGTGCCTTTTATGACCTTCCTGGTCTGGGAAATCCCACGCCACCTCTCCCTGCATCCTGTTGGGTCCACGGGAACAGAGCTCTGTTATTTGTCACCAAAGATCCGATGCTCTTAACTGGCAGATAAACACAAGCGGCCCATCTGCACAATGGAATATTTCTTGCTTATGAGAAGGAGTGGAATTCTGATAGATGCATGGGATGGGCAGATTTTAAAAACATCATGATGGGTGAAGAAGCCAGGCTCAAAAGACCGTGTAATTCCGTTAATAGAAAGTGTCTCAATGTAGGGAGTACATGGAGACAGGTGGTTGTTGTTGATGGAGTCACTTGAGACTCATAGCGACCCTATGTCCAAGAGCCCTAAACCCTGCTCTATCCTGTGCCAACTTCATTGTCTCCGACACACCTACTCCGATTACCCCAATCACTGAATTGATCCATCTCATCAACGGTCTTCCTCTCTTGTGCTGTCCCTCCACCTTCCCAAGCATGACGTCCCTCTCCAAGGACTTGTCACTCCTTGCAACATGTCCAAAGTATGTCAGACAAAGCTTCAGAATCCTTGCCTCCAAGGAACAGCCTGGTTCCACCCTCTTTAGGACAAACTTGTTTGTTCTTTCAACACTTCTCCAGGACCACAGCCCAAAGGTATCAATTCTCTATCATCCCTAGTCACTGTCCAGCTCTCTGATGCATAGCACACAATTGCGAAGACTATAGCCCAGATCAGGCGCACCTTAGTCTCCAGCCTGACGTCGATGCTCTTCAGTACTCTGGAGAGGTCCCTCACAGCTGACTTTCCCAGTGCAATTCGTCTCTTGATTTCCTGGCTGCTGGTACCAAGAGTGTTGACTGTGGAGCCATGCAAACTAAAGCTGTGAACAATCTCAATCTCTTCACCATGTATCATGATGCTGCCAATTGGGAGACCGTATAACTATTGACTGGTGGTCGGTGAGTCCAGTCAACCAGCCCTTCCTTGGGAGAACGGTGGGTGGTCTCCCTGGGACAATACACCGGCGGCCTCTGAAGCTTAACAAGGGATCACCATGAGTCAGAACAAAATCCATGGCCAGGGGGTTTGGTTTCAGGTTAGAGAATGCACTAACGGAGAATGGCCCCTAACGGACATGATGTGTGCTGCTTCTGGGTGAGAGGTTCTAGTCCAGGGACGTGTGTTTGTCCTGACCGTCACACGTGAGGGGGCACCTCCTGTCAGCAGCCTGCATGAGGACAGGGCGGAATTCTCAGAGGACTGCTCCGTCCCCCGTCCTTTATGCTGCCATCTGAAAAGCCAGGGAAAGCGCCCCTCCAGGAGGTCAAGGGCCCCCAGTCAGCGATGGGGGTGCCGACGGGTGTGGGCGCATCCTTCTGTCAGAATGCGATGCACAGCGCTCATTGGGGAGTCAAGTCTGCCAGTGATCTCGAGGTCCAGAACACTCACCAGCAGTGGGGACCACCTCGGCTCAGAGTGGGGTCCCCCTGCCCTGCCTTATCCTACTGACCACCAGTTCTCGAAGGAAGTAGGACCCACTGTCGTGAGAGAGTGCAGCCTGCAGGTCAAGTGTCCACAGCCTGTTCCTTCCAAAGTGGGTCACCCAGCCCCTGGCCACACACCTCCCAGTGTGTCCCCCGACACCCTGTGGGGGTGACTTGCTCCTGTGACCTGTGTCTGGATGTGTCTCTGAGTCCACGTAGCCCCACCTGCTTCCTTGAATGAAAGATGACGGAGGAGTGGGCACTGGGGGCCCAAGGGGCTGAGGTGGTCAGTGTCAGGTGTGGGGATGGGGACCGGTGGGTCAGGAGGTTGTATGTGGCCAGAAGTAGACAAAACCACTATTATGTGAAATGAGGGGGCCTGAAGATCCCTGGGGAAGCAGAGAGAGGGAACAGGGGCACAGCGGAGCCAAAGGGGGGGCTGGGAGGGGGGAGCCCAGGGGAGAGTTTGGGGGGAGCCCGGGGGAGGGGGGAGCCTGTGGGAGGGGCCGGGAGGGAGGGAGCCAGTGGGAGGGGCCAGGAGGGGGCAGGGGCAGCGCGGAGCCCACGGGAGAGGCCAGGTCCCACACGGGCATCCAAGCTTCCTTAAAATTAACCGACTGCTCTGGAGCTGAATCTGATTCGTGTCCCTGCAGCTCAGAGCGGGACTGTCCCCAGGTCTCCAAGGCCAGGCCTTCAGGAAAGCCGGCAGCCCGCCTCCCCAGCGCCCCCTTCCCCGCGCAGTGGGAGGGTCTGAAACCGCCATTTAGGTTGGCAGCAGAGTGCTCTAATCACGGCGCCACCAGGACCCTTAACCAAATCCCTGTAACACACAAGGGACCGTTTTAACGCGCAGTGACGTTCAGTGCACTCAGAGTGGCACAACCACCCCCTCTCTGGGGCTTCTGGGGACAGGGTCACCCTGATAGGCCCCCAGCCTTCAGGATTAACAGCACAAGGCCACCAGGAGCTACACGGTGGGAACATTCACAGCGACCAGGAGTCCCCTCTCACCTCACGTGTGCCTCCCCTCCACACACGTCCACCTACGTGGCCTCTACTGAAAAGTCACACGCTTTGGTGCCTCCCCGTCTGGGACAGACGGAAGAAAAGCAGGTGCAGAAAGGAGTCCAGAGCATGGCTGGACTGTGAGGGCTTCACCCCACCAGGCCGAGGCCAGCGCTGACCACTGATCTCTGAAAGGGTTGCAGGGGAAGAGTCTGGACAGAGCAGGGGAAGGCCTCATGCAAACAGCCAGCCTTACTGGTTTGACAGAGACTGGTGGCCCTCAGCCTCCCCGGGGGCCCACGGCTCACCCATGGCTCTGCCCTCAGCCAAGCAGCCGGCTATGCGGGAAGTTCACGTCTGTTGTTCAGACTCCTGCTTGACTGGACGGCACATGACAGGACAGCGAAGGGGAACAGACACCCAAGGTCAGCAGAAGTTGGGACCCACCAGTGTCTCCATGGAGGAAGACGGACAGATTCCTCCCACCACGATTTACCGCCTCCAAACCCTGTGGAGGGTCAGTGTGTCCAACCAAGTGCTGGCGATGAACTTGAGGGGTTGGATGTGGTGAAGAGTAACAGCAGAAGAGACTCCTCAGAGCAGACGTGCACGCCAAGGGCGGGAATGACGCTCAAGAGGCAGAAAGGGTGGAATCAAGGGATGAGTGGAAACAGGAGTCACAGGGAGGAGCAGGGAAGAGTGCTGAGCCCGGTAGGTGGGGGACTGTGGGTAATGTCACAAAACTAATGCAGATGTAACGCTGAACGGAACACGGTCTTGCTTTGTAAACTTCACTCAGTCAGGATCAATTTAAAAAAGATTTCTGGTGCAGACCGCAGAGCCGTCACGGGACAGAGAGGTGCAATTTCTTTAATGAAAAAATCAATTAAGCAAGAACAGTCCAGAAAAACAGCCATGCCACAGGCAAGGATCCTGCCCCACATGCCCCCTGCATGCCACAAGGACACCCCCTCTGGGGGTGTCCAGGAAGAGAGAGGGTGCCTGGGTGCCTGGGTTGGTCAGAGGTCCACTTTGACCCCGGGGGCTACTAGATGCTCTGAAGCATGCGGAGGGCATGGTGAAGGCGCTGGCGGGTGGCTGGGGTGCATCCGTGGCTCCGCAGGACGTCCAGAGGGTAGGAGGTTCCCGGCTGGCCCGGCTCCCACAGTGTGAGCACCCGATCCTCACCCTCGCCGCTCAGCACCAGCTGGGTCTGCCCCTCGCTGCCGCTGACCTGAAGAGAGGGCAGGGTCTGGGACAGGAGGCTCCCCAGCTGCCCGGCTGACCCTCCGGGGTGGACAGGCAGCCCTGGTCTGGTTCTTTGTGCCGCCTGCCCCCTAATGCCCATTAGTGCTTGGAGTCTTCAGCCTGGGGAAACTGAGGCTCTGAGGAGCCCCCCCAGGCCACAGCCGCGAGGAGGCCCTCCACTGCACGCGTCCCAGCCTGTCACAGTGTCTGCGGCCCCAGGCTCTCTTCCCGTGTGTCTCTGTCCTGGGGCCACCGAGTCAACGCTTAGGGACCCGCGTGACCGGACTATAATCCCTCCTGAGCGTGGGGGTCAGCACCTGCCTCTAGCCAACACATCCGGGGTGTGAATCTTGCGCGCGCTCCGCGGGGCAAAGGCTGTGCTTGAGAGAAGATCCTGGCCTTGGGGACGCTGTGGCCTGTCCACATTCCCTGCCGGTGAGCCTCCCTGGCCGGTCTGTCCCCCACGCCCAGCCACTCCACCCCTGCGGCCTCTCCCCATCAGGGCACCTCGCCAAGTGGTAAAGAAAGGCCCCGGTCCAGGCAGGCGCTCTGCAGGCCTGTCCCTCTAAAGGCCAGGCCCACCCTCCCGCTCACCCCGCTCCCTGTGACCGAGGAACCTCGGCTGCATTCCACACACTTGCTTTCGAGTTCTGGGACTTCCTGGGAATTCTTGGAAACCTCAGCTCTGGTTAGAAAACATCCAGCCTAAAAATTACTTTCCGCTGAGATGACATTTCTGCGGCGCTAAGTGTGCCCACGCGGGAAGAGCGGCAGGCGTGCCTGTTCCCGGGGCGCTTTGCTCTTTCTCGGGAGCCAGTGTCCTCACACCCTGAGGAGCAGCCTCGCACCTGCCAGGCTGGGACACCCCCACCTGCAGCTGTTCACCGGGCCTGTCCCGCTGGGCGGCCCCACCTGCCCTAAGCACCTGCTGCTCACCTGCACCTACCAGACCAGGACACCCCCCCTCCCCTGCACCTCCCCTCACCCGCACCTCCCCCATCCACACCTCCCCTCACCTGCACCATCCCTTCGCTGAAGAGCAGCACAGACGCCTGGTCTGATGCGAGGACACGCAGGAGGCAGAGGCTTGGCCCAGCAGGTGGTGTGGGTCTGGGGACGGCCCTCTCCTGTGGGGAGACCCCGCCCACAGGTGGTCAGGGCTGAGGATAGGTGCCTGGTGCCCAGCTCTGCCCCTTCGGTGCCACCTTGTCTGACCTCCCGCAGCCGCTGCTCCAGGTACTGGGTGAAGAGGCGCAGAACTGCCAGTTTGGCCACCAGTGCACTGGGCACTGCCCTCAGCTCAAACGTCTCCAGCTTCCCCCGACAACACATATAGCTGACCTGGCTGGAGAAAGGGTGGTCAGCGCTGGCCCAGGGCTGTGGACCAGGCCCACTCAGACCTCGCTTAAAGGCCAGTTCTACCCTGATCCCCCTGTGGGCCCTCAGAGCCACATTCGAGGGAGGAGCAAAATACCAAACAGATAAATTGGGTGAGAAGAAAGCAATGCCCATTAAGGGTTTAGTTTGACATTGTAGGCAAGTATATTGGTTACTTTTCATTAATGTTATTAAAACAACAACAACAACATTGAAAGCTTAGTTAAAATACAACATCGGCAAACTTTCACTCATGTTTTTAAAAAAGTTTAAAAAATAAAGATGCTGAATCAATATAGGGACCTCTCAAAATTATTGAGGAGCAATGATGTCAGTTTGAGGACTAAGGTGTACCTGATTCAGGACATGGTCTTTTCAATCAATTGCTATGCTGCTGCGAGCTGGATGACAAAAAAATATGTATGCCTTAGGGAGCTCTGGTGGCCTAGTGGCAGGAATCTGTGCCACAGTCCCCAAAGTGCACTGCTCCGTAATCCAGATCTCCGCTGGAGAAGGAGGGGCAATCTCCTCCTGTGCCCATTGGATCTGGCTCAACGGTACACAACAAGGAGGGGAGAATTTATGCCTTTGAGCTGTGTTGTTGGAGGAGCTGAATATTCCATGGACTGCCAAAAGAATAAACAGGTAAGTCCTCCTTGGAGGCAGATGGAGAAATTTGATTTCACATACTTTGAGCATGTTGCCGGGAGAGGTTATTCCTTGAGAAGGGTATCATACTTAAGAAGGGGGAAGTTAGCAAAGGAGAGGAAGACCCTCGACCAGGTGGACTAACACAGTGACTAGAACAATGGCCTCTCGTATGTCAGGAAGGGTGAGGATAGAACAGGGTACGACAGGGTTCAGATCCATTGTTCACAGGGTCGCTATGAGTCAGACTCAATTTGATGGCACCCGACAACGATAATTTAGATAGAGATATAGACAGCTAGACAACTAGGTAGGTAGGTAGGTAGGTAGGTAGATAGTTGCCTTTAAGTAGAGCACAACTCATAGCAACCCTATGAACAAAAGGCCTGAAGCCCCTCTACAACCATCGACATATATCAAACTTCATAGAGTTTTCCGGAGGCTGTTGTTTAGGAAGTAGATGTCACTCCTGCTTCCAAATACACACACACAAACAAACATACACTTATGTGTGGAAAACTGTTGGAAAATCTCACTATCAGTTGTGAAAACTAGGCCAGGTGCTGATTGTGGATCAGATCATAAACTACCTGTATGCAAGTTCAAACTGAAGCTAAAGAAAATAAAATCCAATCCACAAGAACCAAAGTTTGACCTTAAGTCTATCCCCCTTGACTTTAAAGACCATCTCAGGAACAAGTTTGAGGTCTTGAACATTAATGAACAAAGACCAGATGAGCTCGGGAGGATATCAAGAATATCATCCATGAAGAATGCAAAAGGACATAACAAAGATGGAGGAGGAAGAAGAAAAGGTCAAAACAGACGTCAGAAGAGACTCTTAATATTGCACAAAAGCATTGAGAAGCCAAAGTAAAGGGAAGAAATCAAGATGTTAAGGAGCTGAACAGAAGATTTCAAAGGGCAGCATGGGAAGACAAAGCAAAGTATTATAATGCAAAGAGCCGGAATTGGAAGGGATAAATTTGCTCAGCAATTCTAAAGCTGATGGAACTGAAGGAAAAATTCAAGCCTCAAGTTGCAATACTTACGGGTGCTGAAGGCAAAATGTTGAATGACCCAGAAACATCCAAGAAAGATGGAAAGAGTACACAGAGTCATTGTACCAAAAACAACTGGCTGCCACAGAAGAATTTCTTGAAACTACATATAATCAAGAGCCTGTGGTGATGAAGGAAAAAGTTGAAGCTGGTCTGAAGGAAATAGAAAAAACCAAGGCCCTAGGAATTCATGGCATACCAACTGGCATATTTCAGCAAACAGACGTTGCCCTGGATTTGCTCACCAGGTTGTGCCAAGAAATCTGGAGGATAACCACCTGGCCAACTGCCTTGAAGAGACAGTATTTGTTCCCATTCCAAAGAAAGATGACCCAACAGAATGGTGTGGAAATTATAAAAATATACCATTAATATCACATGCAAACAAAATCCTGCTGAAAATTATCAAAAAATGAATGGAACAGCACATCAACTGCCAGATGTGCAGGCTGGGTTTAGAAAAGAGTCAGAAAAGAGTTTGGAAAAGAGTCAGCCACAGCTTGTTATGATCCACACAGTCAAATGCCTTTGCATAGTCAATGAAGCACAGATAGACATTCCTCTGGTACTCTCTGCTTTCTGCCAAGATCCATCTAACATTAGCTATAATATCCCTATTACCATGGCCTCTTCTAAATCCAGCCTGCACATCTGGCAGTTCTCTGTTGATGTGCTGTTTCAATTGGTTTTGGAAGATTTTCAGCAGAATCTCACCTACTTGTGATACTAATGATATTGTTGTTGTTGACTGCCATCAAGTCAAGCACAACTTATAGCAACTCTATGAACAAAAGGCGTGAAGCCTTTCTATAACTATCGTCATTTACAAGGTTCATAGAGTTTCCAGAGGCATGTTGTTTAGGAAGTAGATGCCACTCCTGCCTGGTAATGTCCTCACTCTGTCGGATCACCCCTCTTTGGGATGGGAACAAATATAGATCTCTTCCAGTCAGTTGACCAGGTGGTTGTCCTCCAGATTTCTTGATACAACTTGGTAAGCACATCCAGGGTGGTGTCTGTTGAAATACAGGGATATGTCCTATCTCCATACCTTTTCAATCTATGTGCAGAACAGATTATCTGGAAGGCTAGGCTCTATGAGGAGAAATGTGGCATCATGATTAGAGGAAGATTCATCAACAGTCTGTGTTATGCAGATGACACAACCCTGCTTGTTGAAACTGAGGAGGACCCGAAGTGCTTGCTGCAGAAGGTCAAGGACTGTAGCCTTCAACATGGATTGAAGCTCAGTATCAAGAAAACAAAGATTCTCACCACTGGGCCAATTGGCAGCATCATGATAGACAGTGAGTAGACTGAGATTATTAACAGCTTCAGCTTGCTTGGCTCCACAATCAACATTTGTGATACCAGCAACCAGGAAATTAAAGGACAAATTTCATTGAAAAAATCTGCTGTCAGGGACCTCTCTGGAGTAATGATGAGCAATGATGTCAGTCTAGACATTAAGGTGTGCCTGATTCTGGCCATAATCTTTGCAATTACTTGCTATGCATCAGAGAGCTGGACAACGACCAAGGGTGATAGAAGAATTGATGCCTTTGAGCTGTGGTGCTGGAGAAGAGTCTTGAATAGACCATGGATTGCTAGGAGAACAAACAGGTTCATCCTGGAGAGAGTGAGACCAGGCTGCTCCTTGGAGGCAAGGATTTTGAGGCTCCATCTCACTTACATTGGGCACATGGCCAGGGGGACTAGTCCTTGGAGAGGGACATCATGCTTGGAAGGGTGCAGGGACAGCACAGGAGAGGAAGACCCTGGTTGAGATGGATTCAGTGAGACAATGAAGTTGGGAACAGTGAAGTTGGCTCAGGACAGAGCAGGGTTCAGAGCTGTTGTACATAGATAGGTCAGATTGGGAGGCCAAACTTCATACCAAATATTATACGAAAACCCTTGTTCAGGAACTGAAGGAATTAAAATTTTATAAATTAGGATTTCTCTTGTGACAGATCACAGAAAATGAGCTGTTCCCTGCAGACAAGAGACAGCTAGGGCCCCCCCTACAGAGGGAGTGTTACTTACTGTGACATACTTCCTGAGTTAGAGCATTAGGTTGACAATAGAGAAAAATTCGGCTTCATTTACAAGGAATTCTTTTTATGATTTGCTTCCCCTGATTATCAATAAATACACAGAGAAGCATGGCTTGGGCCCTTCAGTGGAGAACTGCTGGCCCCCTGTTTTATGCTCTCTGTTCTCTTATCATTCCTGGCTGTCTGTCTCGTTATTAGTAATTATAAAAGTACTTTACCCTCCATCTGCAACAAATAGGGTCGCTACGAGTAGCAAGTGACTGGACGGCACATAACAACAATAACTATGTGTGTGTGTGTGTACATATATATACGTGTGTGTATATATATGCATGTGTGTACATATGTATATGTGTGTATGTGTGTGTATACATATATACGTGTGTGTATATATATATGCATGTGTGTACATATGTATATGTGTGTGTGTGTGTGTGTGTGTGTACACACACACACTATGGTGCGCTTGACCTGAGCTAGGGTATTTTCAATTGTTTCATGTGCATATGAAAGTTGTACAATGAATAAAGACCACAAAGAAGAACGGGGGCCTTTGGAATCTGGTGTTGACAGAGTTGAAATATATAGCGAGGTACATGGCCATGTAGCAGGAGAAGGATGGGCCGTCTTCTCCCGCGCAATTAATTCCATCTGAAAACTGCTGGAGGTCAGCGGTGAGTCAGTTCTGACTTGACAGTACATAAAAACATCACACATACATTTAACTCGAGTGCCCAGGTTAAGCGCTCGACCAGGAGCCTAAAGGTTGGCAGTTTGAGTCCACTCAGCAACTGAGAAGAAAGCATGGGGCCTGCCTGCAGAAGGGTGCAGCCTCGAGCCCTGTGTGGCCTGGCGGCTGTGGGCAGGCGCTCACGGGACAGCAGCAGGCCTCTGGGAGCACTGGCCTTTCCTTCTGTTAGGTTAAGGAGGATAGTCCAGGTGGGCCCAGGAAGAGTAGGACAGGTAGAGGCAGCAGCACACCCAGGGGCAGGGGGACAGCCACCACGGGAGGGCCCATGGAGAGCCAGGTATTCCCCTGAGCGCCAGGCCCCCGAATCCCAGCACCTCACACTGGTGGTGGTCATCAGGCCACTCGTCAGGGATCGCAACCATGAAGGATGATGGGTCTTCATGGCAAAGAATGGAGATTCCGGACCACTTGGTTGTGTGGAACCTGTCCATGGACTAGGAAGCTGTTGTCCCAACAGAAAAGAACCTCTCACATCAGGAGAGGCGTGCATCAGACCATCTCCACTGCCCAAACCCAGTCAGTCCGCACGCTGAGCAAATCACGCAAGAAGCAGGACTGCGTGGAGAAGAGTGTGGTTTGGAGGAAGACTCGTCAATAACCTGTGTTACACAGATAACAAAACCAACCTTGCTTTCAAGAGAACAAATCTGTCCTGTGAGAAGCACAGCTAGAGATTCCTCCAAATCAAAAGGGCGAGACTGGGCCGCACAAACTCTGGCCGTGTTATCAGGTAGGACCAGCCCTGAGAAGAACCACGCCTGGTGAACAGGGGCCGCAAAAAAGAAGGCCCCGACGAGCCAGGCCGACACAGTGACCACACCGATGGGCTCGGACAGCACAGGACTGGGCGGGGACCCCTGCTGGATGCAGGGTCACTGCGAGGTGGGGTCGCTCAAAGGCTCCTAACAACAACCCTTCTCTCTTCTCAGCAGTGTCTGGCTGGGTTTGAACCGCCAACCTCTCAGCTAGTAGTCAAGTACTTAACCGCTCATGACACTGGGATTTCCAGACTCCAAACTGTGAGGAAAGAATTCCTGATTCCTGAATCCACCCAGCTCTGATGTATTTTGTTACTATGCCCTGGGGAACCAGACACCCCCACGCTCTCACCCTGGACCCACAGAGCCAGCCCTCCACTCAGCATCCAGTCTGAGGAGTGTCCCCCTGGAAAACTCAATGTGTCCACACTGGGTCCCTGTCTGCCCCAAGCCACCCTGAAGGCCAGGGTCCCCTCTCGGCTGATGCTCATCAATCTTCGTGCCTCTGCACTGCCCAGGACCCAGCCACCGCCCAGTCCTCTGTACCTACCGCTCTGCCCTCCAGTGGCCTGCAGGGGCTCCAGGGCCCTCTCCCTGCCTCTCACTTGCTTTAGCTCCCTCAGACCCCAGACTTGGTCCCGCCTCTGGACCTATGAATGCGGTTCCCTGAGCCTGTGATGCTGTGCCTGTCCCTGCATCCTATCTGAGCATGTCCTCCAAGGAGCCCCCTTCAGTCGTCCTCTCCAGAGCCGCCTCCCCTCCCCACCGCACCTCCACGCCCTTCAGAAGGGAGATCTGCAATCCACTTACTCATTCATTCATTTAGCTTTGTCTCCTGTACTACACGGTGGAGGGGCACACAGTAGGTGCTTACTAAACAGCTGAGAAAGGGCCATAGGGAGAGCCTGTCCTCAGGGGTCAGGACCCTACTACTTACCCTCCTGGGGGGCGCAGGGCCATGTGGGTGCCATCCCGAAGCAGGACTCCACTGCCTCCGTCTGACAGCTGGTAGCCAAAGCCATACTTGCTGGAATAGTCCACCCACTTGGGGGCCCACAGGAGGAGCCGCTGCTCCCCTGGGGCGTCCTGCACGGCTGGGCACAAAGACGACCGGAACTGAGCCAGAGGATGAGAGCTGGCCGCCGAGGCAGCGGCTGGGGCCAGGCCTGGGGTCTTTGGTGGGAGGAGTGTAGGCAGAAGTGGTACCACTGTGTCCAAGAAACAGTGACCAGCCCTTGTGGGGGGGGAAGATTGGGGGCCCCGGGGTTCCGGGGTGCTTCTCAAACACTTGTCATGTTGTGAGGCTTTGTTTAATTTTTCTTTTTAAAAATTATGATGGAACAAAAAAAATCATGATCAAAAGGTGGAAATGCAAAGCAGATTTCATGTTCTAATGGAATCCAGACTTTCTGGAGTCATGGAGGCTGGAGGAGTCTGTGCTACAGGGAGGAAGGGTCTGAAGGAAGATGTAGGATGTGGAGGAGGATGTAGTGGCCAGTGAGTCTATGCTACAGGGAGGAAGGATCTGCAGGAGGATCTGGAGGAGGATGTAGGGTCTGGAGGAGCACGTAGGGTCTGGAGGAGCACGTAGGGTCTGGAGGAGGATGTAAGGTCTGGAGGAGCACGTAGGGTCTGGAGGAGGATGTAGGGTCTGGAGGAGCACATAGGGTCTGGAGGAGCACGTAGGGTCTGGAGGAG